GGGTAGGGACAGTCTGGTACATGTAAAAAGGTATGAGTCACGGTCCCTGAGGCGAGCTGGACTTTCCGGCCTGTAGTCCAGCGGTAACGCTTTGCTCCAGTAGCCCCTTCTACCCATATTGTCTTTTTACTAAGCGGGCCAGTCGTTTGGGTGAGGATGGAATGTTGCGCCCCAGTGTCTACCATGAAGGTGACTGGCTGTCCCCCCACATGAAGAGTTACCCTGGGCTCAGGTGGGGGTTCCTGGCCCCGACCTCCCTAATCGAGGTTGAGGATCTCAGCTTTTTCTTCTTGCTGTTTTTTCTTTTTCTTGGGGCAGTTCTTTACCCAGTGTCCTCTTTCCTTGCAGTAGGCGCACTGGTCTTTTTCTAACCGGACACGCCCTCGGTCTCCCCCCCTTTCTATTCTGACTTCATTTTCTTTTCTCACTACTGTGGCCAGGATTCTACTTAATTCTTTATTTCGCTTTCGATCTCTCACTGCCTCTCTATCTTCTGCCTCTCTTTTTTGTCTTTCTTCTTTCTCCTCTGGTGTTTCCCTTTTGTTAAAGATCCTCTCTGCCTCCCTTAAGAGGTCCCTAAGATCTTGCCCCTGTAAATTCTCCATTCTTTGGAGTTTATTCCTAATATCAGAAGCTGATTGCCGTATGAAAGACATGGAAACACTTACTTCCTGATCGGGGCTGTCTGGATCAAAGGGAGTGTACCTCCGATATGCCTCTTTAAGTCTTTCTAGAAACACAGTGGGCGGCTCGTCTGCTCCCTGTGTCACTGACCTCACCTTGGCCAAATTGGTGGGGCGTCTCCCTGCCCCTTGGAGGCCCGCTACAAGCACCTGGCGATAAAGACGTAGGTGTTCCCTACCTTCAGCCGTGTTGAAATCCCAAGCAGGTCTGGTGAGGGGAAAGGCAGCCTCGATCTCGTTTGGCAGTTGGGTTGGTCTCCCGTCTGCCCCCGGAACATGCTTTCGGGCTTCCAGAATGACTCTCTGCTTTTCCTCCGTAGTTAGCAGGACCTGCAGGAGCTGTTGGCAATCATCCCACGTGGGTTGGTGGGTAAGGAGGATAGACTCTATCAGGGCTGTTAGGGCCTGCGGGTCCTGGGAAAAGGACGGGTTATGAGTTTTCCAGTTATACAGGTCTGAAGCGGAGAAGGGCCAATACTGAAACTGGTTTCCTTCCCCTCCTGCGAGTCGGAGGGGCAGGATGTGTGAGGAATCTCCCTGTCCTCTCCTCTCTCTGAGTCGACCCGCAATGGGAGAGGGAGCGACCTCCGGTCCCTCTGCTTGGACGTCATCTGGAAAAGGAGGAACACTCTCATCAGGGGGCAAAACAGGCTTTTGTTTTACCACCACAGGACACAAGGAGGTGGTCGAAGGGTCCGGGTTAGGGGCAGAGGGGAGGGGGATTCTTCGTGAAGGACTGAGAAAAGGAGTCACCCACGGTGGTGGGTCAAGGGAGAGATTTTCCCAAGTGACTATATAGGCCACTTGGTCCGGGTGTCCCATCGGTCCAGGAGAGAAGATTTTTGCTTTGATCTGTAAAATAACATCAGAATCGAATGTCCCATCGTGGGGCCAACCTAAGTTAAAGGTTGGCCATTCTGAGGAACAAAAAGTAATCCATCTATGCTTCTTGATCTCCACAAACTGGTTGTGGGCACGAGTTTTCACCTCCTTCCAATGATCTAAAGTCAAACTCAAAGGGGTAGTTAATCCTTGTCCCATTTCAAAGCTTTGGTTCAAACAACGATCAACAATGAACAACAGACTCTACTGACACACAGACAGACACGCAGCGCGAAGAGGAGAATTTCAGATACCGATGGCAGGGAGGTGCCCCTGCCCAGATTAGACCCACAAAAAACTACAGAGGGGGTCTCACTGATCCTGGAGCATCCCCCAGGTCGGCAGGCAAAGCTCATGGACTCGTCAGTCCAGTACTTGCACTGCCCAGAAGTTCCGACGGGGCCCCACAAACCTGCGCGAACCTCGAGAAAACAAGTACACAGACAACACAGACAACAGTTAGCCGGCCGACTCACCTCCCCGCAAGGCTCGAGTTGCCCCGGTGGTCCCCTCTTGTCCAACAGATCTCGGTGGGACCTCCAAATGTAAGAGTGAAACCACTGAGGACAAGTCAGCCTTCGGGTTGCAACAGCAAGAGGTTTATTTAGTACACAGGTACCTGTGGGCACAAAGTCTCCTTGGAGGACTTGTGCGCCCCCATGCTGGGTTTTGGCACTTTTATAGAGCAGAAGCGGGGTACAGAAGCAGAAGCATGGTTATTGGCCCATTCAAACGAGTATAAAGCATGAGGAAGTTAAGTTGCTAAATTCTGGGTGGGTGACTTATGGTACAGATGTTATTTCCTGATTTCCTGGTATCGAGCCCCGGGGATTGCCAGATGCAGATGGCTTGACCACTACGTCCTGTTTTTCTGATAAGCTAGTTTCTCAATGCTTGACCTCTTGTCAGGCATTCCTATCAGGTGGCCTCATGGCGCCTAGGTTTTTCACTATAAGCCCAGATCTGAGGGAGGAGGTGGAAGATCTCAGCGAGTTTGAGGCCAGCCAGAAGAAAAAAATCCACCTCCAGCTGCTTGTATCATTCTCGTGATGGTGCCCTCTACTGGGCCTTGAGAGAAACCAAAAAGTAAAGGGAAGGTCTGTTCTGTAAAGGAAGGTCTGGTGTGAAAGGATGTGGTGTGGCATACAAATAAAGGCCCAGATCTGAGGGAGGAGGTGGAAGATCTCAGCGAGTTTGAGGCCAGCCAGAAGAAAAAAATCCACCTCCAGCTGCTTGTATCATTCTCGTGATGGTGCCCTCTACTGGGCCTTGAGAGAAACCAAAAAGTAAAGGGAAGGTCTGTTCTGTAAAGGAAGGTCTGGTGTGAAAGGATGTGGTGTGGCATACAAATAAAGGCAAATGAATGTGGGCCAAGAGCTCTGAAAAGGAGAATCAGGAGATGAATTGTTAGGTAAATATGACTAAAGGAACAAGAAATTGAATGCACACATTCTGAGGTACAAGCCTGGACTTAGAAAGGGAGGGTGTATTTAAACAGTCCAGTTCAGTGGTCATTTAGTTAAGTGCTCAGGTTATGCCAGGCACTGTGCTAAAATACAAGATGGGTGATCCATACAGCTTCTCTCAGTGAGATTACATTCTGGTGGGGAAATTGTAAGTGAATATATCATACTACAGTGTTACAGTCCAGCAGTGGAGATCTAAGTCCATAGAGGGAGAGGCAAGCAATTAATAATTTCCAAATATTTTTAGTAGTATTTTCAAGCCCACGCTAAACAGATCATTTAAATTATCTCATTTAGTCCGCAACAATTCTATGTGGCTTCTCCTTTTTAATTTTTTTTAGACACCATTTCATGTATCCCAAGTCTAGTCTTGAACTCACTGTGTAGGTGAGGGCAACTTTGAAATTCTGATCTTCCTGCTTCTGCCTCCCAAGTGTTGGAATTACAAGTGTGTGCCACCACACTAGGGGATCAAATCCAGAGCTTTGTGCATACTAAACAAGCACTTCGCCAGGTGAACTATATTCCCAGCCCTTTATTTTGCGCTCTTCTCTCTCTCCCTCTCTCCCTCCCCCTCTCCCCCCTCCCCCTTCAAGCATTCTACCACTGAGCTAGATTCCCAGCCCTTGTTTTTTGTTTTGTTTTTTATATTTTATTTATTAGGTAAGTATACCCACGTTGTGCAATGCCTGTGGAGGACAGAAGAGGCTCTCAGATCCCCTGGAACTGGAGTTACAGTTGTTAGCTGCCATATGGGTGCTGGGATTTGAACCCAGGTCTTCTGTAAGAACAACCAGTGTTCTTAACTGCTGAGCCATCTCTCCAGCACCCTTGTTTTGGTTTTTTTTATTTTATGTGTATGAGTGTTTTGCCTCCATGTAAGTTTTGTCTGCATGGATGTATGCATGTCTGGTGTCTTCTGAGGCCAGAAGTGGATGTCAGATCCCCTGGAACTGCAGTTACAGACAGTTGTCAGCTATAATGTGGGTAATGGGACCAAGCCAAGTCCTCTGCGAGAGCAGACAGTACTCTTAACTGCTGAGCCATCTCCAGCTTCTTATTTTGTTTTTAATATATGTCATAATATTTCAGTTATACAAATGGGAAAACTATGGGGCTTAGAGAGATGGCTCAACAGTTAAGAACACTGGCTGCTCTTGCAGAGGACCAGGTTTCAGTTCCCCGCATCCACATGGTAGCTAACACCCATCTGTAACTCGTTTCAGGGGATCTGATGCCCTCTTTTGGCCTCTGTGGGTATTATACAACATGGGTTCACTTACATACATGCAGACAAAACACTCATATACATAAGATAAAAATATATAGATAAAAAAAGACAAAGTTCCAGGAGCTAGATGTGTATGGGCAGGCAGATTTCTGAGTTTAAGGCTAAGTCTGGTCTACACTAAAAAAAAAAAAAAAAACTCAAAAAAATAGGGCTGGAGACTGGAGAGATGGCTCAGTAGCACTGGCTGCTCTTGCAGAAGACCCAGGTTTGAATCCCAGCACCCACATGGCAGCTAACAACCATCCATAACTCCCGTTCCAGAGGATCCAACTCCCTCTTCTGTCCTCTGTGGCCATTGCATGACACGGGTGCACTTACATACAGGCATAACACTTGTACACAAAATAAAAATAAATCAATAAAAATAAATAATTTGAGGAACAGTGAGATGGTCAGTGAATTAAAGATGCCTACTGCCAAGCCTAACAATCTGAGTTCAATCTCCGGGACCCAGATAGAAGAAGGAGAGAACCAGTGCATACAAATTGTTCTCTGAACTCCATAGGAGTGTGCACATACATATACACAAGCATGAATACAAACTAAATTAAAAATGTAATAAAAACTTTCAATGCCAGGTGTGGTGGTTCTTGCCTATAATCCTAATATGTGGGAGGCAGAAGCTTGATCTGTGAGATCAAGGCTAGCCCAGCTACATAGTGAGTACAGGCCCACTGGGGCTACAGGGAGACCTAAAAGAAAAGCAACCAAAAGGGGATGAAGCCAGACATGACAGAGGCAGGCTGATCTCTGTGAGTTCAAGGCCATCCTGGTCTATATAGCAAGTTCCAGGCCAGCCAGTGCTACGTAGTGAGACTCTTTCAAAAAACAAACAGAAAAACAAAACAAAAAGATGGAGGGTGGGGAGAGAGGGACCAGCAAGATGGCTTAGCAGGTAAAGGTGATAAACCAGGTGACTAGGGAGTTTGATCTCTGGAACCCATGTGGTTGAAAGAGAACCCATTCCCAAAAGTTGTCCTCTGACTTCCATATAAGCACTGTGGCTCATATACACCCACCCTCACACATCACACACAATAGTATTAAATAAAAAAAGCTTAAGAAAAAGGATGACTGATGAAGGGCAATCCTAGCACTTGGGAGGCTGAGGTAGGAGGATTGCTAGATCCAGACAAGCTACATAGCAAGACCCTGTCTCAGAAAACAAAAGCCACATGTGGCAAATGCCTGTAGTCCTAGCACACAGGTCAGGGAGGCAAGAGGATCATACAAGTCTGATGTTTGCCTGGACTACATAGCAAGTTCCAAGACTACATAGTGACACCCTCTGTCTTGAAAAATATTGGAAGGGAAAAATAACAGCCTGCATACAGCCTTGAGGATAAAGGCAGGGTGTATGCCGTTGACTGCAGAGGGATGGAACAGACATCAGAGAAGATTTCATGGAATAAATTCTGAAGGATAAACATGACAGCTTCAGAAAATAGAGGGAAAGTCATTTGGGTAGAGAGACCAACACTAGAAGGGTCAGTAGTAATAGCAGAGCCAAGTGACTCTGAAGGGTGACTGGAGGGCAGACCAGGGCATAGACAGGAGTAGGCTCCCTGTGGGGATGGCATAGGCAGGTGGAGTACTCACCAGGGAGATTACAAAGAAGGAATCTGATGCTGGGTGTGATGGCGCACACCTTTAGTCCCAGCATTTGGGAGGCAGAGGCAGGCAGATCTTTGTGAGTTCAAGGCCAGCATGGTCTCCATAGCAAGTTCCAGGCCAGCTTTTTTTTTCTCAAAAAAGAAAAAAAAAAACAAAAAGAAGGACTCTTGTCAGGTTTGTGTTAGGTAGGTCAGTGGCACAGTATGAGGAGCAGGAATTTTTTATTTAAAGTGTGCTCACATGTGTGTGCAGGTGCACTTACTTGTACATGCACATATGGAGGCCAGAGGTTGACTTCAGAATCTTCCTCTATCACCCAGCTGGATTTTTTTAATATATTTTATTAGTGTGTGTCTCAGTGTTTGTGTGGATGTGTGGGCATGTGCCACTACCAGAGGTCGGAGGACAATCTGGGATTGGTTCTGCCCCATTGCTTTGTAGTCCTAGCTGGCCTGGAATGTACTATATAGACCGGGTTGATTTTGAATTTGATCCTAGATCCTCCTGCCTCTGCCTCCCAAGTACTGGAATTATAGGCATGCATCACCATATCTAGCTAAAGAAGGGATTTAAAGGGGATAGGTTTATGGTGGAGTGGCTATTTGGTTTTAAATCCTGATTTTGGTACTTTAGGGGATCTCCCTGGGGGAGGGGGGTAATATGTGTGTGTGTGGTGATGCATGCATGTGCAGGTGCTCTCGCCTGTGCATGTACATGTGAAGGCCAGAGGTCAGTTTCAGGTATCTTCCTCTGTCACTCAGGCATGAGTGAGTTTAGATCCCTACACTTGTGCTGGGGATCTGAACTCAGTCCTCATGCTTGAGCAGCATGCATTTCATGCACGAAGCCATCTGCCCAGCCTGAATTTTTTTTAATTATATTTTATTTGTTCATTGTGTGTTTGTATATGGGCACATATCACAACATGCATGTGGAAGGTCACAGGACAACCTTTGGGAGTTGGTTCTTTCCCTCTACCATGTGGGTCCTAGGGAGCAACTCAGGTAGTCAG